GTGCTGAGTGATCCCCTGACCTACCTGAGGTCACAGATCAAGGTCAGCACAAGGGACCTGCGAGCATCATTTATTGAAGGCTCTGCCTGAAGATCAGGACCAGACAGATCGGCATGATGGGTAACTGGGTTTGAGCCTTCATCCTCGAGTATCAGACCAGCGTTTCCTCTCAAGATCATCATCAGAACAGCAGATCCACAAATCTCTCATCAATCATCCCTTTGGGATGCAGTTTCTTGATTCCTAACTTTATGGGAATACAAGAGTCTCCCAATGCATGCAACCAACACAACCTCTGGGTAAGCAGAGTTCTACTGGTGGATTTAGAGTTGTCCGTCAGAATTGTGTGATGGATTCTAACCTGTGAAAAGCACTGAAGAGGAAATATGTTTCCTTGTTGTCTCCTGCCCCAAGGCTACCCTATTCTTGACCTAGAACGTTGGTTCTCAGAGTACAATATCCAGACCAGCAGCCTAGTCATCAACATCACCAAGGGAAGTTGTTTAAATGCTAAGATATCACTAGCCATACACCAGAACTCCTGAACTAGACTCTGGAGAGAGGGTCCAGTCTGCCTTCAGAAAGCCTTCCAGGGAACTATGATGTGTAAGAACTGTTGTTTCACAAGTGAGCTACTCGGGAAGCCAAGGTCACCTGTTTCCTTTGGCTCCACAAGAAATAGAGATGATAAAAGCTGGGGTGACTCTTGAAAGAGTGCTTACTTAGCAGTCCCCAAACTGTGAATTCAGTCTCCACCACTACGTGTACACGTGTGCGTGCGTGCACACACACACACACACACACACACACACACACACACACACAGGAGAAGATGGCTTTCAGACTCTTGAAAGAGTGCTTACTTAGCAGTACCCAAAGCTGTGAATTCAGTCTCTACCACCACACCCTCGCGCATGCACACACACACACAGAAGATGGCTTTCAGACACTTCTTTGAGGTATTGCCAGCACAGTCATTCCTGGTGGGAAGTGTACTTTATTTTGTATGTATTGGCCACTCTCAACTGTATCAAAGAAAGTTTAAACTGTTTGCACTCAGAAGCCATGTCTCTTCCTAGAGTGTGCTTCTAAGTTAATGACACCAGGGCAAAACTCTTGGCCTGGTGGGTGTTAATAGAAAAAAGACAGGCTTTGGAGGGGAAACTGAGACATCTTTTGAAATTCTATAGTCCATGGGTAGAATTGGCTCCAGGAAGATGGCCGCAATGCCACAGGGGCGGGGAAAGGTTGTGGGTCTTATGGTTGTGGGTCTACCAACCTATATGGTTGGTAGGAGCATAGAATGGATGTGATTTAAGTCATAGATTTTTTTTAAATGATTAATTATTATTGTAAGTTGACAAATTATCAGTGTATATGTTTATGGGGTACAAAGTACTGTTATTAATTATAAACATGATGCAATTAAATTATACTTATTAATATCTGTCATCTCAAATACTGATTTCTGAAGGGAGAACATGACAATTTTACTCATTAACTTTGAGACATACAAAACCCTATTTTTAATTATATTTGCCTTGCTGTACAATAGCTCTCATATGCAGAACCTCTAACCAGTTCCTCCTGCCTGCCTGAGCTTTTGACCAACACACCCCATTCTTCCAACCCCTCAGCTTTTCATGCCTGCGACCTGTGAGCACATTCAGTGTTCTCTTTCTGTGCCCAGCTTACTTCATTGTCCTGAAAGCTGTCTCATTCCATTCCTATTCCCAGCGGCCTTTCTCTTTCTAGGCACTGAATGGCACACTTCGTTATGTGTATGTAGCACATTTTCTTTGTCCACCACCTCACCGATGGACACTAAAGCTGGGGTCACAGCCACGCTGAAGATCTCTCCTCAACATCCTCACTTCAGAAAAGCTGGGGTCACAGCCACGCTGAAGATCTCTCCTCAACATCCTCACTTCAGAAAAGCTGGGGTCACAGCCACGCTGAAGATCTCTCCTCAACATCCTCACTTCAGATCTTTTGGGGAAACTCCCAGAAGGGGTACTGCGGAGTCACATGGGAATTCTAGCTTTGGTGTTTTGGAGAATTAGAACACTGTTTTCCAGAATGGCCATATTGTTTATTTACATTCCTATCAATAGAGTTATCATGTAGACTTAGCTGAGAGGTTTGGGAACGGGGGATGAAACACAGGGCAGAAACCAGAGGCAGCCTACTAGGTAAAATCATTTCTTATCTGAATGCTTGCTACTTGTTTTCTTCCCTCCCTGAAGAGAGAGTGCGGCTGAGGTGAAAGAGAGCTGACTTTCGGGCAGGCAGAGCCTTGGCTTCAACCCCACCTTGCCACCAACTTGCTGTCTTGAACGAGACAAGCGTCTGGATCTCTGTTCCCACAAGCAGAAAAGGGGACTGGGGGACTGGGGGTGACAATGTGGTCCCTTAGGACTCTCAGCTCTGACACTTATCAGTCAACCTCCCGTGCATCCCATACACCACTCAGTTGTCTGCTCCTCCCTAACCACCGTGTTTGTCCCTAACCTCCGTTATTTTGCTTGCAAGGAATAAAGGGGAACAAAGCTTCCCCCAGCAGCGTGCGTCTCCCAGGGTTAGTTTTATCCCTGCAGCCTTCAAAGGAGCATAGCTACAGGGACCATATGACCGGTAAGAGTTCCACTGGTCTCAACCCTGTGCTCTGACGGCCGGGCCAGCTGTCTTGGGTTTTCTCCCGGGAGCTGTGGGTCTCTCCGAGCTTGGCTACACTGAGCGCCTAGTCTCAGCTGCTTTTCTGTCAAGACTCGCAACCTTGGGGAGGAAAGCTTGTGATTTCTCTTCCTGGGTAAATGTGCATTTTGTTATCTGACCTCAAGAAATAGCATGAAATTAACTTATTTCCCCTACCCTTGGTTAAAAGAAATGTAATTTTTTTCTGTGGCTCTCCACGCGTTTCGTAATATCTGACCATAAATAGTTTTAGGGCTAGAGAGGGCCAAGCAAAGAAAACAGCCTTGCCCATGGGCTGCGGAAAATATTCCGCCCAACAAATTTAAATTGCCTTTTCCTTTGATCATAACGCTTATTGGTGGCCTGAAGGAGGATAGCACCAGTGGGCTAAGGCCTGAAATTTCCATTTCTGTCACTCCTACTCTACCCACTGGAGTGGCTATCTGGGCCGTTGGTCATGTTCTCTAAGTGAGCGGTGTCACTTTCTGCGTCCCGAAAGAGCTGTGCAGACCAGCGCTCCAGAAACCACGCTAACGAGCCCTGGCTATTTCACACAGGTCACGACTATCTGAGAAGTCACATCAGAGAGCATGGGAGACATAGTGTCCTTGCCTTTTATTGATTCTGGAAGAAAAAAAGGCATTTCGTAGATTCTTATTGATAAGGCAGGAGACACGGAGGCTTATAAATCAACTCTGAGGGTCTGTAAGTCCAGGACTAAAAAACCCCTTTTCAGGCTAGTCCCACATTTAGTGTAGCAATAAACCCTTTCCCAAATGTCAGTGGAGCTGGCACCTCTTTACCCCAGAAGACTTTGGAGGGAAGACAGCAATGTTTCCACACATCTTAAGTCTTCCTTTCTTTCTTTCTTTCTTTCTTTCTTTCTTTCTTTCTTTCTTTTTTTTTTTTTTTTTTTTTTTTTTTTTTTTTTTTTTTTTTTTTTTTTTTTTTTTGGTTGAAGAAATTAAATGGTTGAGCCAGGCAGTGGCAGCACATGCCTTTAATCCCAGCACTCGGGAGGCAGAGGCAGGAGGATCTCTGTGAGTCTATAAGAGCTAGTTCCATGACAGCCAGGGCTACATAGAGAAACCTTATCTTGAAAAAAGCAAAGAGTATATCATATGAGGCTGGAGATATGGCTCAGTGGTTAAGAGCACTGACTGCTCTTCCAAAGGACCAGGGTTCAATTCCCAGCACCCACATAGCAGCTAACAACTGTCTGTAACTCCTAGATCTGACACTTTCACACAGACATACATGTAGGCAAACTACCAATAAAGATAAAAATGAATAAATTTTAAAAAGGGGATGAAATGGTTGACGTAAAGAATGAAGTTGGTTTATTTGCAAGAAGATGGATGGAGCTGGGGATAATGATATTGTCTCAGAAACCTGATGTTGTCTCTCATGTGTGGTTTCTAGGTTTTATATGAATATATAAAACCGTGTATGTATATATGACATGAACTATGAAATATAATCAAAACTGTCTAGGAAAACAAAGAGAACTAATGGAAGGGGGAGGTGGAGGAAGGGCAGGATGGGGAGTGTGGAGAGGGGACCACTGACTGCCCAAGGCGCAACAGATATTTGTGTGAATACGTCCTTATGTGATACAGTACCATGACAATGAAAATGCTAAAGATTGTAATAAAAATAAAGTAAAACAAGATATAAAGCAAAGTTGGCATTATAGCAGCGTTACAAATATAGCTGCCCGGGATGTGAATCACAGGTTAGAGGAAAGTGAGCAATAGTCACTTGTTCTCCAGTCGCGGGAGGGTGGACAAGATCCCCAAGCCAATCCTTGTTCTCCACCTGCAGAAGGTGGACAAAGTCACCTGAGCCCAGCCTTTCGCCTGCCCTGGCTTATTCTCCAATGGCAGTAATTCCAAATTTCCCCTGATAACTGCCTGTCTTCTCTTTCACCCAGTACAGACAGGCAGCTGGGGAGAGATGGGATGCAGGAGCTTTCCTCTGCATCTCAATGTTTCTCCTGAAGGCTTGTCCGCTCACACCCAGCTCCACCAGAGAACCGCTCTGGGAAGGACAGGAGCCTCTCTGGTCTCGACAGGTCTGGCTTAGTGGGAATTTCTGTAAAAAGACTGCCTTTGCCCTCAAAATAGGAAAGCGCCCTGTCTATATTTGATTAATCAAATAAAACAGAATTGACACACACACACTCCTAGGAGAAAATGTTAATTTTAATTGCATTTTTAACTTTATGATCAATTTTATTTTATCAGTGAAACTTTATATCACAGAACATTGGGGCCTTTTTAATGATTTCTTTTTAATAATTTACTTTGTGTGTGTGCATGCGTGTGCGTGTGTATGTGTGTGTGTGTGTGTGTGTGCATGTGTGTTTCAAATGAATGACTTGCCCAGGACCACACAATGCAACAGCAGCAGCTATGAGAGTTGACTGCAGCTTGTGATGCCCAGCCCAAATCTGTTCCCTCCTGTGCCTGGACGCAGTGGTGGCCAGGTGGCATGTCAGTTCCATTCAGAGATGCTTGGAGCCTCATTCTCCTCACCCCACACCAGTAACCAAAGCAGCAGTCCAGGAACGGTAGCTCAGTTGTAGAGTGCTTGCTTGCCTGGCATGAATGAGAGGCTAGGGTTCAATCCCTGTCCACACACAAAAACATCTGCCATCAATAAAAACAGAGGCACCTTTTTAAAAGAGAATAAAAATAAGCAAAATGATCCTTGCACCCACAAGTGGACGGAATTGTACACTGCTCCAGTTTTAAAGACAGCTTTACTCGTGGAGATGTGCCAGGTGCTTGTCTTTGTTAACTTTCCAAGCAATGCTTCAATGTTGAGAGAGTGTGTGCTGGGAAGTTCACTTCTGTATCCTCCTTCAGTTCACAGGTATCAATGTAGTTGACTTTGCTAGAGGTGCATGCTTTCAAATTAATTTCTGTGTCCATATTGTAGAGAAGCAGAAACCACTTTTAGATTCCTCTCATTAAGATTAAACCAAATACTAATTAAATGAGCATCTGTTTGAATTCACTGGAAGCAGCACGTGTTTCCTTTGAAAACAAATAAAAATTGTTTTTGAGACAGAATCTCGTATGGCCTTGAACTCAGCATGTATGTAACAGACCATAAACCCCTGATGCTCCTGCCTCTATCTGCCTTTTGCCAAGATTGCAAGAGCGCACCGGCACACCTAGCGTAGGGATACTGCGGTCAGAACTCAAAGCTGTGCGCTAAAGAAGCTGTCAACTGAGCTCTCCCTGTAAACTCAGAAAGCACAGACGAATTCTCTCTGCTGTCTCATTTGTCTTCCCCCCGCCACAGCAATGGAGACCGCAGCATTCACACTGTGAGTTGCCTCTACCCCATTATCCCACATTATTAAGTTCAACCAGGTAAACATGTACCCTTGCTGGTCTGAGATGATGGGAATAAAGAATGGTATTCTCATCTTATAACTTTAGTATCTGCTGAGGAAAGCGAACTGGTAAACAATGTCTTGGCATTTAAGTTCAAGGTTTCTTTCCATGATTGAAGCATGAAGCATGTGCACAGGAAGCCTGGTGTGGAGGGAGGGCTACTCAGCAGTCTTTAAAACACACATGGTCTCTTTCCCAGCCTCGGGGTACATTGGAAAGCAGGTTTTGTTTTGGGATCCCTGTTTGCAGGAGTGTGGAAGGGAATGGCTGGCTGTTCACTGCGACTTCGAGCAAGAGAAGTCAAGTCGATGACGTGATGAAGGTCTGACTGAGAGGCCTGGACTCAGAGAATAAGGTGGACTGTGGGGAATGTTCCAGAGACTGCCACCACCTCACCCTGTGTGGATAAAACTATCTGTGCCTCACATCAAAGACCCCAGAACACACCCAGGTGTGACAATGTTCGGGAGCAGCCTCTCTACCGTCAAGGGACACGGTGACTGTTGAGTTGATTCGCTTGAACCAAGAATTTATCCTTACTGAATGAAGGCCTATTCTTGAAATGTAAAGGTCTCGGCTTCAAATGCCAAAAAGACTCTTGCTCCCAGAGTCACTCACTTTTAACTTTAGCAGCCAGCTTAGGACCCAGACATAGAGACAGAACTCTCCTTGCAGGTAACTAAACATTCACCCAAAGTGAAAAATGTATTTCTTGTGTGACAAAGTTTTTCCCTGGTTTTATCATCACTCCAGATGCAAAAGAGGGAACTAAGTCCCAACAAGCGGACTTCTCTAGTGCTAGGGTGGGATAAATCGTCTAACGGATTTGCAATAAATGTACGTGGACTTTCTGAAAAAACAAACAAACAAACACCAACCCAGAAGGAAGAATGAGGTGGAGAGCGGTGAGGACAATTCCTCACATCAGCTGTTCTTCACATGTATGCATACGCATGTACTGCACACACACACATGCAGTTCATACCCATACACATGAAAGAAAACCAAGCCCACGCTGCAGACTGTGGCCCTTGTTAGCTAGGATGGAACCTGCACATTTGCTCTATGGAAGGTCAGAGGGTAGAGGAAATAGGCTTCTCAGACCATAGCATCTGACAAACTACTTAGCTCATTGTGCTGTATCAAGGGCTGTAGACAACACGTACACACACACACACAGACTCACACACGTAGTCACACACTATGACACACACATTCATATACATTCATACATACACACACACACACACACACACACACACACAGCATGCATGGCTCTGTTCCAATAAAACTTTACCTACAAAGGCTGTCTGAAAGCTCCTTGAAATAAGTGTACTGCAGTGGGAAGATGGGGAGGCTAATCACAAAAAAGGGGGGGCAGCCAGCTGTAGACAAGGAGCTGTCACTCGTGATTCCCCCGCCCATGACTCACTGTCTGGAACTATGCTTTTAACAATGACTCTTGTCCTCCAGTTGGAAGGTAGAATGAGTCGGTAGAGAATCTGGAGTGCCTTGTTCTAAAATACAACTTTTAAATGAGATATGTTCCTTAGAAAAACATATTCCACATTATTCCTGCACATGGTGTGTCTATAACTCTAAAATAAGTACACTTATGTAGCTGGGGTGCGCTCGCCAAGAGGACCACTTCCAAATCTGGGAGCGCACATGTCCCTGCTGTACAGTGGCAGTGTTTGCACACAACCTAGCACAGCCTCCCTTAGGCCTTAAGTCATTTCTAGCTTTCAGAGGATGCTCAGGCCAATGAAAGCATTTGTTGTACTGTAATATTTAGGGGAATAATAACAATTAAAACATCTGTATGTTAAATGAAAGGTATACACATTATATATTTATGTATGTATGTACACATGTGTGAATATATATAAACATTGTATGTACCTATGTATACATATAGTGGAGCTGGATATGGAACCCAAGACCACATGATGCCGGGCAAGGGCTTTACCACTGAGCCGTAGGACCAGCCCTCCTGTATTTTTTTCTGTCTAAGTTTATTAAATTCATATAACTAGAACCCAGAGATCCAAAGAGTCAACCGCACGCCATGAAACTCAATACCTAAACTTCATTTTCAGTTATTTTCACAGATAGTCAAACTGGGTCGCTTTATGTCCTCCAACTGGAACAGGCATCCCAGGTTCACACGGCATTTGCTAGTGACTCAGGGTTGGTCCGTTCTAGGTAAGAGTGAGTCACAGGAGCAGGACGGGACTTGTGGCCCTCTGGCTGCTCCCATCAGAGGGCCTGTCCGTCAAGTTGATGGAACACTAGGAAGAGCCCTGGGGCTCAGGTCCTGAAGACAGGGCTGGGATCTGAGGCGGTCATCTTCACAGGTTTGGTAGGTGAACAGGAGACACTTAGTGAGCTGGAGGAGAGACAAAACAGGCACAGACAGAAAAGAGAGCCGCTTACAGTTCAGTCTGGAAACCTTGAACTTCATATCTACCAGGATGCCCCTTGAACTCCACATCTGCTGGGCTGCCCCCTTGGAAGGTTGTCTGACCTCATTTCCTACTTGCAGGCAGTCCTACACATTGATTAAATTCTGGGGAATCTGCAGAGCGGTCAGCTCACTTTGGGTCCATGGCATAACATAGACTGCCCCAGAAACAGGGTCAATATGTCTGCCATGGTGCCGGTGTCAAGCATAGACTACCCTCCAAGTGCCTATCAGCAGGGTTTCAATGTAAGGTAGAGGCTGACTGAGGACTCCTTATAGGCAGCCAAGTTTTATTGCCAGGGCTTTGAAGTTCATCTTTCAGGTTCAAATGCCTGTTATCTCATTTCTGACTATGTAATATGGCGCTATGTAATTAGAACGGCCTAATCTCTATCAAAATCACTTTGTGAAATAATCTCTTCTTCCTTCTGGAATACTGTAGGCACTTTCTCGCCCACCCCCACTGTCCTATTCCCCACCCCAAATATTTTCCCCTGGCTGCCATAAATGGTGGGTGGATAGAATCATATGAATTCTAAATTACTTTTAAAAATTGACATTGCTTTGCTGCAAGCCAACTACTTTGTAAGCTGTGTCAGCTAAAGGTCTCCCACCAGCTACTCTGAAGAAGTTACTGCTGTCATATCTGTCCTGCTAATTTAAGCAGAAACTGTAATTAGATGTAAGTGGTCCTGTTTGCACAGAAGTGAATGGCAGCCTCTGTAGAGAGAGCCAACCGTTCCAAACCCTTTTGGCTCCCAGCACTCTACAAGTTAGCAGTATGGAATGAGGCCCAGATCCAGACTTCTGTCGGCCTAATTTCATATCTGTGGATGCACAACCCTAAATCCAATCTTCTAACGCCTTGCTGTGATGGGTGCAAAGCCAAGCACATTCCAACTTTTATGCTGGTGGTGTCTCCTGAGAAGGGCACTCATGTGTGTGTGAGAGTGTGTGTGTGCATGTGTGTGTGTGTGTGTGTGTGCATGTGTGTGTGTTTCTCAAGTTTCTCAAGCACTTGGCATTAAGAGAAAAAATAAGGATAAATTTGAGCAGGAAATCAAAAAAGTAGAAAGCTATACCTACAACCTAACAATGAAAATTTAAAGATGGTTTTGATGAAGTTTTTTGTTGTTGTTGTTGTTGTTTCTTTGTTTACTTCTCTGGGAAAGGAGTGTATGCTTAGATCGTGAAAACTTGACCAATGCTCCACAGCACGAATCTCTTGGTAGGAGGGGCTATCTTTGGGGAGCAGTGTCTTGGCTTATCTGTTTCCAGGTAGGCAGTTCAGGATATTCATATTGGGCATGAGAGGTCATTGTGGGGTAACATGCTTGTAGCAATAGCCTAAAGACCTAGGTTTGATCCCTTGATCTCACATAATGTTGGTGGGAAAAAAATCAATTCTACGAATTTGTCCTCTGACTGCAACATGTATGCATGCATGCACACTAATAATAATCATTTTAAAAACATCAATATTGAGATATCACATCCTGTACTACTGTGGGATGACTCAGTTTCTCCACAAGCTTGCAATATGGATGGGGCAACTAAACCACAGAAACTCAAAAATAACCTCGTCTGAATTGAGACCAATAAAATGAAAAACTTGCTCATAACAGGAAAAGCGTCATCTAAAACCTTCACTTACTTTAAATCTGGGGCCACATTGCAAGACTGATGATGTGACCAGCCCGAGATTAGCCACCTAGCTAGCCATCTGAGAACTTGGGGGTCTGTGCCATCTCAGTGTTTTAGTTGTTAGTGTTCTATTGCTGGGAAGAAGCAGCATGACCAACACAGCTCTTCTAAAAGAAAGCCTTTCGTTGGGTGCTTGCTTGGTGACAGTTTAGAGGGTTGGCCGATGGTCATCATAGTGGGAAGCAGACAGGCATGGTGCCTGAGCAGTAGCTGAGAGCTTTGCATCTTGATCCACAGACAGCAGACATGGGGCGGGGGCAGGGAGACTGGGCCTGGTGTGGCTTTTGAAATCTCAAAATCCACCAACAATGACACACTTCCTCTAACAAGGCCACACCTCCTAAGCCATCCCAAACAGTTCTACTAACTGGGGACCAGGCATTTAAATATATGAGCCTATGGGGGCCATTCTCATTCAGACCACCATACCCTAGAAGAAATGAAGACATTCTAAAGGGACACTTGTGTCCCTAACTGGCTCTCTGGTCTGTTGAAACGAGGCACCTCAGGTAATGAAGTTCTTCCAGGGATACCTTACTGGGAAAAGAAAATAGTTAAAGCCTTTCCTGGCCAGAGGGACAGCTTCTCTCCCAGAAAGGGTTCACCCGGAGCTGAAGACGCCATTACACATTACTAGAGAGCCTGGAGTCATGGCAGTGCTAGCCAGTGAGTGGAAACTCACCTTGGACAGAACTAAATCATGCATATCTCTTGCCTTCCAGTTAAACCTTGCTTTGATGTCGAGAACCTAAGGATGGACTTGGGGTGCCAGAATTTCTTTGTCCCTCCCTCTTTTTAACATGGGCATATCAAATAAATCTCCTTTTTCTGCCTTTCATCATTAATTTGGCTATTTTTATCTTCTTTTTTAATATTTATTTGTTTATTTATTATGTATGCAATATTGTTTGTGTGTATGTCTGCAGGCCGGAACTGGGCACCAGACTTCATTACAGATGGTTGTGAGCCACCATGTGGTTGCCAGGAATTGAACTCAGGACCTTTGGAAGAGCAGGCAATGCTCTTAACCACTGAGCCATCTCTCCAGCCCATTTGGCTATTTTTAAAATGACTTTAGAATTAATTAATTGAGTGCATGTGTGTGCATGCACATGCTCACATGCATGCGTGTGTGTGTGTGCGCGCGCGCGTGTGTGTACATGCATGTATGAGTACCATGGCACGTGTGTGGAGGCCAGGGGACAAATCTGAGTTACTTCTTGTCTTCCCCCTTGCTGAGGCAGGGTCTCTTTTACAGACCTGTGTACTCTAGGTTGCCTGGACTGTGAGCTTCTGGAAGATTCTCTTGTTCATACTTCCCATCTCACTGTAAAGTGCTCGGATTATAGATGCATTCTATCATACTGGCTTTTTATAAGTGTTAGGGAATGGAACTAAGGTTGTCAAACTTTCATGGCAAGTACTTTCCCCCACTGAGACATCTTCTGATAACTAATTTGGTTCTTTGGATTGACTACTAAAGGATGAGCTGCTAACTCCAGTAGCAAAAGCTTTTTATCACTGGGTGGCAAGTAACCAGTCCAGATCAGTTTCTGTGGAAGGATTCTGGGGCTGGTGGTTCTAGGACAGATGTAATGGTTCTGGGACCGATGTGGTGGGTCCAGGACAGATGTGGTGGGTCGAGGAAAGATGTAGCAGGCTCAGAAACCTCCCAATGATTGGCACTGGTTGTCTCATGAGTCACAGCCCAGGAACATTGCAATTGAGGCAGTCTGTATTTCCTGCTTTCTGATGGTGTTACCACATTGGTCCCCTCTGCAGGCCAAGCATACCTTCTTCATTAACCTCTGTCTTTGAGAACTACACTTGCAACCTGCCATTAGGGTTTATAATAAGCAAACTTGCTTTTTAAAAAATGCTTTTTAAATTTTGTTTTATAAACTTAGAGGAGGGGGCCAGGTATGGTGGGACACACCTTTAATCCCAGCACACCTGAGGCAGATGCAGGTAGATCTCTGTGAGTTCAAGGTCAGCTGGCCTAAATAGTGAGTTTCAGGACAGCCTGGGCTGTGTAGAGAGACTGTGTCTCAAAGAAAAACAAAAACAAAACAAAGCAAAAACCAAAAGGAAAAAGAAAGAAAACAACAACAAAACACAAACAACAAACTGTTGTGAAATAGTCTTTTAAGATGTGTTACATTTGTTTATGCTGTGGAACATTTGTTTTAATGATACAAAGATGTGTTGTATTCTTTTATGTTTCATTTGCTTAACTCTGTGAAGCTGTGTGACTGTACCTGTCTAAACACCTGATTGATCTAATAAAGAGGTGAACGGCCAATAGCTTGGCAGGAAAGGATAAGCGGGGCTGGCAGGGGGACAGAATAAGTCTGAGGAGACATCTGAGAGGATGGAGGAGCAAAAGAACAAGGAGAGAGGATGCTAGGACCCAGCTGATGGCGTAAGTCACACCAGTTTGGAGTTATGATTAATAGGGTGTTATTTATTTAAAGGGGAAAAAACTTACAGATCACCGTCCCAGACAACAGCCATCTGCACAACCAGGAAGGGAGTCTAGTCTCCAGCGGAGCAGGAAGTGAAGAGAGCGAGCAGAGGAAATAGCCGCTTTTTTAAAGGGAGAGAGACCACACCCCAATGGGCTGGTATCACAGCAGCTATTGGTTGGAGGGGCGGAAGGACCTCCTGCAACACCCAGCTACCCAGCAACACAGCCAGCTGTGGAGCAAGAGTGACAGTGATAAAAGGAAAAAGCCCAGAGGCAAAAGGTAAATGGGACAATTTAAGAAAACCTGGCTGGAAATAAGCCAGGCTAAGGCTGGGCATTCATAAGTAATTATAAGACTCCCGGTGACTTATTTGAGAGCTGGGTGGCAGGCCCCCAAAAGAATCAAGAATCAAAAAGTAAAATAGCAATCAACCAACCAACACATGAAAACTACTAGGGGAATTGTTCAGGGCAAATCGTAGCAGCAAAGTTTTCTTGAAGGATGACAACCTTCAGCCTTAGCAAAACTTTGAGATTTTGTTGTCCCAAGGGATGGTGATGGCATTTCAGGAAGGACAAACTCAATGATGCCAACTCAAGACATCCTTTTCCCGACTTTGCACTTTTTCAGCAAACATATCCTTGGCTTGCTATTTGACCCAAACAGGATGTCTCTGCAGAACTTCAGAATCTCTGTGAACGGCAGGAAAGGATCAGAATCTATGCTGGTACCAGAGCGTGTTTTGTTAACGGCTCTGAAATGTGTTGGAGGCCAAAGGGAGAAAAGTTTCTTTTCTCAGGCAGATGGTCATTGGTCACTATATATGACTATCAACTGTGCCATATTCAATTGTGAAATCGATGTGTGAGTGTGTGTGAGTGTGTATATGTGTATGAGTGAGTAGGAGAGAGTACACACTTTAAATGTCACCTAAGAACTAACTTACCTTGAGATTTCTCATTTAAAAAAATAGACTGGTCCCGTATAAACACAGCAGCCTTGCCTGGAATTTTGATTTCAGCTAAGTCTCAATCAGGGAGCTACAGATATTCAAGGGATCAAGACAGACAATCTAAGTTTATAATAATAAATGTAGCTCATTTTTAGCAAGGCTCACTCACCTTCTGGTGCACTCGCTTGTTATTGCCTCTTCTCGTAGTGATTTTTCTGTTCTTCACTATAGCTAAAGCTTTGTTTTTTTTTTTAATGTAGCCCATTTTAATTTTTAAAGTGTCCTGTAGACAAGAAATTAATCTCTGGTGGAATTTTTCCATTTGAATGATGGAGGAGTTACAGAGTGCCTGAAACGCTATAAAGTGGAAAAAAATCATAGCCATAAATTCCTATATCTAAAGCTGTTGTATTCTACCATGACTCTTTGGAATCATGGGAAAACCTGAGAAAGACCTGGGATCTGGCGGGAAGTCCAGCCCTAGACTCCTGAAAGGTATTCCTATTTCTAACTGTCTGTAATGCAGATCCTCCTGAACCCAGGTTTCATTTCTCTGTGTATTTATCTGGTGGTGGAGAAAAGGGTGAGAGGTAAACAAGGGGAAGAGTTAGGAGAGCGTGTTCTCACATGGTTCAGTTAAAGCCAACAAGACTGTAAGAATGCCACCGACAACATCTGCATAAAATAAAGAATGCTGGGAAATCAGTTCACCTCTTTGAGTGTGATAACCCCCACGGTTACCAATAGAAACGAGACAGAACTATGTACTGAGCTGCTACTACGAATTGCCAGGAACTGAGGTGGGCAGCTTCATAATAGTCACAAAGTTCCCCAGAGTCCAGAAACATAAAAACGGGATTAGAAGAGACCTCATGAGTTGCTCAGTCTCCTAAAAGACAGCTGATCCAAGAGGTCCTGGCTTGCTGATGTCATCTGATCCCATTATGCTTAAAAAAGAACAGTTTAATGATTCCAAGTAGAAAACAGGGAACGATTAAAATTGGAACCTTACGACCAGTGAAATGACTCAGTGGGTCAAGGCCCTTGCCATGAAACCTGAAGATTTGAGTCTGAGCCCCAGGATCCATGATGGAAAGAGAGAACTGACCCCTGTGCATGGCACCCAAATAAATGAATAAAATTACTTGCACACACACACAATGCAGAATGTTACACCGAGTAAAGACAGTTTCTTAATTTTTATTCCACATCAGCATCCACAGGGGGGGATTTGAAAATCCCTTGATGCCCCAGTTAATCCCCAGACACAGTTAAGCAGGGAGAAAGGCCACCAGGACAGTTTTTCTCAATATCTCCCAGTTCCGCCAAAAAGTCAGAGTAGAATATAAGGGCTCTAGATGCAGGAATTCATGCCAATGAGTTCTTTTTGGAAGTGATCTGATACACTAGGATTTCCATCTCCCATATCCCTTCTGTTTTCACTCCTGCAAGTACAGGGGAGGAGAGCCGTGATGGAGCTCCCTTACTGTTTACAGCAGGCTGATTGCTGTTGGGGTGGGGACAGGGACAATTATTAACAACGGGCACAAGCAACAAACATTGGCAACAGGTTTGTTCCTGACAAAGACTTAGCGGTGCATGATCGTGACATGCCAAAACATCAGGCAGGAGACTCCTCACGCATGACTGGCTCGGATCACTTTGCCAGCAGATATCAGCAGGCTCTTGGGGGTAGCTTCCACAGAGAGCAGCTTCCCAAACAGAGCACTGTGGCTCTACTTTGTGGGGGAGAAACAAAAGTAATATACAATGTCAAAACATTCTCATGTTCTGAATGACCCGGGGCCATATGGGATTCTCCGAGCTGGAAAAGAGTTGATTAAAAATTCAGTCACTTAAAAAAAATGATTATCCCCAAATCTGGCATACTTAAGCCGTGGCTACTTGTAGAGTTGGATTATATCCTCATGAAAAATGACAAGGCCTTGCTCTGGGCCGGGGCCTCTGCTTTGGGATTTGATCTCACTCTCTCTGGAACATGAAGTGATACAGAGCATCATAAATATTCAGACCACGTTATGTTTAAAATGCAAACTCATCTTCCATAGTAAAGGAGATGAGGGAGGCTGGGGAATATTTTATACGTCATTTCCGGGATTTTCCCATGATATGTATGTGCAAAGAGGCAGTCTTTTCTGGATGTTCTTAACTCGGTGAGACAATCAGTGCATGTGAAAGCCAGGTTGTCCAAACTGAAATTTGATTGTCAACAAACCAACAAACTAACTCCACAGTAGAAACGAATGCTTTCAATAATTTTTTTTCAGGGCTGGAGAGATGGCTCAGAGGGTAAGAACACTGATTGCTCTTCCAGAGGTCCCGAGTTCAATTCCCAGCAACCACATGGTGGCTCACAACCATCTGTAATGAGATCTGGTGCCTTCCTTGCCAGCAGTACATTGTATGCTTAATAAATAAATCTTTAAAAAAATAATTTTTTTTCATGTGAAATAGACACACATAACAGAAAAAAATCAAAATAAATAAAAAATTCAGTTCAACAATTAATCATGGGATCTAATTCTAGGTCAAGGTAGGAAATGTTATGAATTTTCTATGTTAGCTGTGCTTCTGTGGCTGCGACAAAGTCCCTGAGAAAGTCAACGTCCAGGAAGCAGGCTTATTTGGGCTCATGGCTTTAGACCATGGTCACTTGATTCTGATGCTTCTGGGCCTGAGGCAGGGCCTAGCACCATGGTGGGGTAGGGGGAGTGTGGTGGAGTTAGGAAGTTTCTCTCAGGCATAGGAATAGGAAGGGTGGAGCAGGAAAGGATGAGAAACAGTACATCCCCAGGGTCCTGCTTCCTCCAGCCCCATTCCCTAAAGCACTTAATAGGACCAGCAACTGAAGACCAAGCCGTCAACACGCAAACCTTCAAGGGAGGAAGACAATTCAGACGGAAAGAGGCTAAGACGGTCGTCCTTTGAAGTTGAAAACAAGCTCTGACCGGTTCCCAAGGAGTAAGAAGAAAAAATGGGAGCTGCTGAAGCTGAAGGAGGCTTCTCTTGGATGTCTGAGATGTTCCGAGCTGTCTGAGCACATTCTGAGCCTCCTCCTTTCTGTTCTCTGCAGCTACAGAGGGAACTTGATAACATAACGAGACACTTGGACCACTATGCAATGTGAATACAAACCGCGGCCCGAATGACCTCCCCTCTGGGCCATGCTGCATTGTCACAAGACAGGTAGCTATAGCAATGAAAGGAATTCCTGCTCTTACTGGCATTACTCGCAGGACATTTCAGGGACTGACTACATATTCAGTGCCAGCAATCCCACACCCTTACCTCTTCCATGCTCTGCATCCAATCTGTAGGCCTGGGCTGAGGGTGAGCCTGGGAGCAAGCCAGTAAGTACCATTCCTCGGTGCTCTCTACTTTAGGTTCGACCACCAGGTTCCTTCCTTGAGTTCCTGCCTTGGCACCCTTGATGACAGACTAAAACCTATAAGTCAAACAAACCCATGACCCTGAAGTTGGCTTTAGTCACTGGGACGTGAAACTCTTTTCTCTGCTTCAAGGCCAAGGGCGCAAAGGGAAGAGTCAACTTCCACAGTGTCCTGTTCTAGATGCACCCAAAGGGGCTGAAGGCCTCCCGTCACTATCCTAGACACTTTAAATTCCAGGAATGACAGATCCTTGCACGAAAGTCTCCCCCCCCCACACACACACTCAGATGAGGGCAGTTGTCTGGGATGGCAAGGCTGGGATTAGAAAGGAACAACCTGGGCTAGAGAGATGACTCAGCAGTTAAGAGCACCGGCTGCTCTTCTAGCGGTCCTAAAATCAATTCCCAGCAACCGCATGGTAGCTCACAACCATCTATAATGAGATCTGGTGTCCCCTTTTGGCATGCAGGTATACATGCAGGCAGAACATTGTATACATAATAAAGAAATCTTTTTTTTTTTTTTTTTTAAAGGGTACAGCCCTTCCCTAAGAAGCAGCTGGTCTTTTCAAAAAATAAGGCCTACTGGACCACATTGAAGGAGACCCCAGACGGTGCTCAACTAAGCCACGCTTTGACTTCCTGCCCCATGCAAGAATTCTTCTATTTAAGACCCGAAGACAGACTTTCAGACACTGAACTCCTTTCCT